ATCTGCGGCCGGCCCGTGCAGGGCAGATTGCATGATCAGAATATGGGCTTTGTCGCTGGGGATGTGCTTCCCATATTCCTCCATGTAGCTGAGGACTTGGGTTAGAAAAAACCCCAACCGTGTCGGCTCCCCCTTGAATCTCATGTCCAGCGGCGGGAGTCTTTGAATGGATCGGTACCTTGGTTGTCGGTGGTAGTGTCTTCCATCCAGATTGCCGTCTGCGGGTCAGCGGGGAGTGTGGACTACTGGATCAGCAGACGTCTCTGGGGCTGCAGGTTCCACTTCCCCCTCAGTGTCTCTCCCTTTGCGGCTCCAGCAGCTGGGGCAGCCGTAGGGCTCAGAATTCTCCTTTCCTAGGGAGCTGAGCATTCTCTTCATCAGGTCGATAGCTTTCTCTAGGATCCAGCCTGAGTACGGTGCCCAGCTCCCTTCCTCCTCGCGTGCAGGGATTTCTCCATCTCCTACTTCCATTCTGCTTGGTTGGCCCCCACCTCAGGGTCACCTTCATTTTTTTTCCTCATTCGCCTTTATTTCCAATGCCCATTGACCACCAAGGTTTGTGGTCCTGTGTCTCCACCACCTCTTCTCCTGAGGAATCTGACCTCTCAGATCCCGACATCTGGTAAGGTTTCAGTCGGGGCAGCGGCTCTCTTTCTAGAGAGTTTTCTCCCTTCCCTGCTCGTCTGACATGGTAATTTTTTGCAAAGTCCCCCGGCAAGGTTCTCCCAGGTGGACTAATTCTGCAGGTCCTATCTAATGTAAGGACCCACCCTACTTTGCATCTTAAGAAGACAGAACTCTTGGAATATTTCTTCCAACAAGAATCTTTATTAAGAGAAAATGGTTGCAGGCATTCTAGACAGGACCTGGGGCCCAAGCCCTACGGTTCAAGGTTTTAAGTGTTCCCAAGCAGCCCCCCCACCTCACCATCCTTCTAGTGACAATCCCAGGCATTACATTTCCACCCCCTTTTTCCTCACGGCCGGTGGAAGGGAGACTTCAAAGAGGAGTACATGAAAGGTGATGGGCCCTATTGTTATGTTTAGTCCTTTTGGTGATATCCACATTCAGTCCCTTTGAAGTTGTAATGAAGGAAGTGGTTCACTCTGAGCTTTATGGCTTTTTTGTAGACATCTCATGACCCATGATAATAAGGTCACCTATTATCCCACTTTGGATCCTGAAATGTCTGCAAGACCACCATCCTCACAGGCATTCCCCCCCCCGAAGGACCCTTCATTTTAACTCTTAGCCAGAAATAGTCTCCTTGATTGGCATTCTGGACTGTCTCAGTGCAGAAGAACCTGCCTGGCAGGACCTCATGCCTTTCCCATGGGGCACATTCCAATGCTGCCATCCTTCCTCCACCATTTCCTGGACCCTAAAGGCCAATGAAGTTTCTCTCAACCACCAGCACCGGCACTCCCAGTTTCTCCGAGCTGCTTCATCATCCCCAGCTTTGCCCACCTCTCGGGGCTTAACCTGGACGTGGCACCACCACCCTCCTTTGTGGATCGGGATGCTCCTCCAAAGGTCAACCGCATCCTCCCTCCCGGCGGTTCCCCCGAACTTTCATCGTCTCAGCTACACACAACCCCTCAATAACCTTCCAGGAGCAAGTTCTCCTCCTTTTTCTCGTTCATCTCGGCCGCCCCCCACAAATACCTCACCCTTTGCTGTGCATGGCGGCAGCAGCAACAGTGGCGGAGACTGGGGCTCGCGTTCCATAGTGCCTAGCGTGGGACCCGCCTCAGAAGCAGCAGTGGCATTGTCATCACTAGGCTTGGCTGCCCTAAGTGAGGCCAAGGCTGCAAGTGAGGCCTAAACCTCTCAGCCGGGCCCTGAGGTAAAAATGCAAATAGGCAAGAGGAGGAAAGGAAGGAGTTGTGGCCAAAATGTGAGTGCGCTCTCGGGCGTGCAAGGGAGAAACTGGGAAAAAACATCTCCCACCAATTCGCCGTCCCACTACTGGCTGGGGGTCTCACCACCATCCACCCACCCTCTCTCTCCTCACAATTGGACAGCTTGCTTGGGAGGTTGAGGCAGGCCAGATAAAAAGACAGATCAGGCCATAATTTGAGGATCCAAGCTACAGCTTTGGTGGCTCTGTAGGCAGAGCTGCAAAGTTCTCTTCTCTGACAAAGAAGAGAACTTCGCATCTCTGCCTACAGAGCCACCAAAGCAGAAGGTGGAGTGCGGAGGCTCGGGGAAGGAGGGTGCTGAAGTGGGCGGTCATAAAAGCAATGCATCTGAGCAGAAAGGGGCCTCAGAACAAGTGGGGCAGGTAAGGAAAGAAATCCTCTGAGGCTGCTTTCCGCTCAACTGCATTGCTCTTGCCAATGGCCCAACCGCCCACTTCAGCACCCTCCATTCCTGAGTCTCTGGGCTCCACCTGCTGCTTTGGTCGGCCTGCCAGCCCCCACCTCAATGCTCTGCCCACCACCTAGCATGGCTGCCCTGGGGCTGCAGGACCTGGCCTGGCACGGGCCCCATCCTCCCGCTACCATGCAGGGTAATGCTACTGCCCCCGCCCTGATGTCCTCACCTACCCCAAGCGTTTTTTTTAATAACCTGCCTTTCAGCTGCATTCCATTTCTCTGTTCGCTTCTCAGCCTTTGTGTTTGTGGGACTATCGGTAAAAAAAAAGTTTCATCAGACTTTCTAACTTCTCACAAGATCTTGTGGAACTTTTTTTTTTGTCCCACAAACACATGGTGAAGGCTGAGAAGCGAACGGAGAAACCAAATGCAGCTGAAAGGCAGGTTAGTAAAAAAATACTTGAGAGAGGTGAGGGCATCTGGGCGGGGGCAGAAACCTTACCCTGTGCGGCTTCGGCAGGTGTCTGGCAGCGGGAGGGAAGCAATTGGTCTACCACCATGCTAGCACCGCTGCATTGCTTCTCTACCCCATGCACAGGCCTCGCCCCACCCCTCACATGGAGCACCCTGCTCCCGCCACTCCCCCCACCTTCTTTCCAGCTCTGATGCGTCAATTCTCCGCCACTGTGTGGGACTAAAAATAACGTTTAATCAATCAATTCCAATTTGCGAGATCTTTTTTTTTCCTGCAAAAAGTTGAAATTGATTGAACTTTTTTTGTGCACATGGAGGCAGAGGCCTAGGACTGGGGTGACAGTGCGCATGCCCACAGAGAGGGCTCTGCGTGCCACCTGTGGCACGCGTGCCATAGGTTCGCCACCACGGATCTAGGCTGTCACCAACCTCTTTACTTTTTGTAACATGTCCCAAAATCTCCTCTACATGTACTCTAGCAAGAATCTTTGTGCAGCACATCTACAGGCTTCACAGGCTGCCAGACTGGATCCTCAGACAGGGGTGTCCAATTCACCTGACAATTCTGGTAAGAGTTTCTCAAGCTAGTGGAGACTATCCGAGGCTATTCTCGCATTACCCCCAGAGCCTAGGAATGTGCGAATGGCGTGTTGGAACAGTAGCTTAGGTGTTATATCAGTAACCAACAAGACAAGTTGTCCAATCTCTTCCCATTCGCAGAAGTTGCATTCAACAATGCAGTTCACAGCAGTACTGGCCATTCTGAGTGGCAACCAGCCACGACTTTGTGGCTATACTGGAACTGACCCAGCTGAGCTTCCAAACCACGTCACTGACAGAATGGATTAAATCCCTTCAAACTACCTGGCCCATTTTCCGCAAAGTGCTAGAAGATTTATGAGAAACCCACAAAAAAAAATGCAGATAAAAAATACTCTCAGCAAAAAGACTTTCAAGTGGGAGAAAGTCTACCTCTCCACCAAATTCTTGCAATCCAGAACGCAGTCCAAAAAATTGGGCCCAAAGTACAATCCAATCACAGTTCAATTAACACTGCCAAAAACTCTCAGGCACATCCATCCAATTTTCCACTGCAGCCTATTAAAGTCAGTAGCCACATCCTTTGCATCCTGCTATGAACCCACCTCCAACACCAACACTCATTGAAGGTGAACACATTGAGATCAAAGTCATTCTTGATTCCCGCTTTTTAAGGGGCAAACTCCAATACTTAATCCTATGGAAGGACTTTCCTCCCTCTAAAATGAGTGGGTTGATGTGCAACATATGCAAGCCCCACCTGTCAGAACCCATATTTTAAAGGGCCTTTTCTTTCTCTCTAAACCCAAATTGCATTCTCTTCTCTCCCTGGGTTCTGCCATACTCCTGGAGGGGAGGGGGGAAACGCTTGAGGGTTATTGCCTTGTTTCCTCTATCACTACAATGTAACATTTTGCTGTTCCTGCATTTCTTCCTCTGTGATCTTTCTCTCCCCTGTTGTCAGCTAGAAAGGGGGAGGAGAATGGAATGTACCTTCGGCAACTGTTTATCTCCACGTTCACAAGGAAAGGTGCGAAGAGTCGCCTAAACATCGCTGCAGTCCGGAGACGGCCTGATGTTATCTCCTTTTTCCCGCAACAAACCTAACATCTTGGGATTGGCTGTTTGAACTGACCAGATGAACTATGGGGTGGGGTTATGCTTGGGGATACTTTTTAATCTATCGATCTGGCGGGAACCCCTCAGATCCTGTCTATTATGCTGCTATGAGCTTCTCCTAATAAAAGCTCCTTTTGGAAGAAACCGCTTCCATGAGTTTTACTTTCTTGAGATGAGGTATTGAAGTCCTGACAGCACATCTCTAAAAATTCCATGGCAAATATCCCAATAAACCCCATTGAAATATCTTGTAACCACTTGGCTTTAGTAAAAGTATACCTTTCACTACGAATGCAGTCAAAAGGCTCTTTCTTTTTAAATGACCAAGTTGGGACAAGTGTCCAACAGATACTTTTTAAAAAGTTTAAACTGCATTTCAGTCTAGACATTTTAAAGAAAAGCACTGCAAAATATTGTATTACTGGATTTAATTTTCAGTTTTTAAATAACGCAATTTCATTTTAGAATGATTCCTTTTAACTCTCAAATAAAGAATAAAACATACAAAACAGCCTGTTTTTAGAAGTATTCAAAATAAACACTTTAAAATCTCTTGTCCAAATAACTGGGAACAACCATTTAATTTTTTTTTTACATCAGTTTAAATAATCAAGTAAACATTCCAATTATAACACAAATGGTTAGAGATGTAATTGACAGGTCCAATTTTATGTATATTTTGGAAATACCTGCAACAATGTTAGAAGTATTTGGGGAAGGAGAAATTATTAATCATAACTAATTTATGGATTAACCAAGATTACCCTTAAGGAGACCTATTATCTATTAAACTAATTAGTCATGGGTGGAAGTCAGTGTTTTATTCCAGGACTTGTATGTATTACACATTTTAGGCATAAGAAAAACCTACATTTTAAAAAGCAAAGATGTAAATTGCCATCAAAATGAAATCTAAAACATTCATAACAACATGTCATTGGATGTGACATTCAACAGGTTGAGACAATGATATACACAGACATAATACAACAAAAAGTGTGTAAGGGCTGAAATAATTTAGTAAAAAATGCATGAAGAAATAACAATGACATATTGGGCAAAATGTATTAATTTGGGATGTAAGATTGGATTGGAAAACCTTTCTTTCCCTGTTACTCTGTTCACTTTATGTATTTGTAAAGGTTAAATTTAACATCATAATTAGAATGTTACTAAAAATTAGAAAATATGTGTCTGAAATCTGCTTATTTTTCATGATTATTATAGGCAAAAAATATATGAAACTATAACCATAAAGCTAGGTAACCTAAAGATATTTTATGTATCCTTCTGTATGAGCAATTGAATTAATTTATTGCTACATATTGAAAGGTCTCCTATATCTGCAAAACTAAATGGCAATCTCCTTTGAGAGAGGCAACTAATGCCTCTCAATATTAAATGGTCTTCCTGCTACAGAGACAGGTCAAGTTCTGCAATGCAAGGTGGACCAGTTCTATTTGTCCCACTTGATCCTACAAAAAGCACTTTTACTTTTAATTGTGAGATGATGAATACTTGTAAACATCCATAAAAAAGGTAGGATAAAGATGTTAGCTGCATTAATACCATTAATTTTGAAATTTGTAAATTCAGTTGCTTTTAGTAGATTGGATACTACTAACCTCCAAGTCAGAAATAATACCAAGTGGCTCAAGAAATCAGTTATTACTCAAGACTATTGCTATTTGGACATGTTAGTTAACAGAAACATGAACTTACATTTTTCTATTCATTCGAAGTCCAATAGTTCTTAAGTAAAGATATGTTCAGAACTAATAGAATAAAAAATGCATAAAAAGTCAACACCACAAATTGGTAGAGACCTTCCACCAGCAGAATTTCCCTTTATTTTAGTTTATTAATTGGATACATAATGGAGGCACTTATCTCAAACTGCTGGGAGCTTTTTTATTTTAAAGATGGAGAAAAGATATAATAACTCCTTCACACATGGTAACAAAGAATCAAGAGACAACAAATCAGAGAAGTCCATGCTACATGGCAAGCACTTGTTTTTGGAGAAATATATTGCAAAAAAGGTTCAAAGCCCTTGGTAATGACTTTGGCAATAGAGGGACATTTACAGAAAGGCAGTGCTGGTTATTCGAACAAATGACATAGAATTTAAGCAATAATAAAGGCACAAAGTTAGCACTCTGGAATTAAGACATGAGGCAAGCAATTTCTGTTTCGGATCACATAAAAAGAGAAAGAAGCATTAAGGCATATATCTTATCTTAGGAAGGGCACAGATATCCCTGATACATTTATGTAAGTGAGAGCAGGCTGGGGGCAACTTGGGTCTTCTTTTAAAAAATACTAGAATCAGAGAAGTACCAATACAGTCTGATTTATGAAGAAGTATATACAACCACAGCCCAGAGAGGGCAGATTACTTTATGACTCTCCAGTCTTGCTCCACAAACTCTTGGAATAATAATGGTTCTAAAGATGGAGTAGCCAACATAAAAAAAGCTTTTCAGAGAACATAGACTCCTATATTAGTTCCTGTGGGGCAGAGAGAACTTTAATCTATCTTGGAATAGTGTTTGCCAAAAAGAATCTGCCTCAATCTAGAAGCAAATATAGTTCAGTTGAACTGAAGGACAAAGAAATCTGCATAATAAGAAAGTCTCTATAGTAGTAATCTCTGCAAAAGATCACAGTTTTTTAAGTATTGCTTCTTCCTACCACTTCTCTATTGGAGGTTGACTAATTTATCCTGGCCAATTTTATATGAAAATGATTAAATCATCCCCTGCAATTGGCCATTGGTCTTTTCTAATATTACATCAAGTTCATCCCAGGTTGTACCTGGCAATCTAAGTTTGCTGCTTCCATTGAAGTATAATCACTGGTTGTGCAAAGGATAGCATGGCATAAAGTCAGCACTATACCTGAGACTCAAAAACAACTTGGTGCATTCTACTTTCCAATTATTATGTTTGATAAAATCTTGCTCCAGTTTCATAAATTGGATTTATCAGCCGTTTTTTATTTGCAGTTTCATTATTTTTCAGAGCTATATAGAAATAAATTGATCTATGTTGTACTAAAATGCCATGGTGAGAAGGTAAAAGTCTAAGAGGAAGATTTCGTATATATTATAACAAAGGAATTAAAGGGTGGCAGGGAAAATAGATCCAATCAACATTAATAGCAGGAAATTCTAACAAGAGTTAGTGGAAATACAATCTCTCTAGTTTTACACATTTGTAGGCACTCTCATCACAATCACTCAAGTAGGGGGTTGTTTCTCTATTTCCAACAAAGTGCAAAACAATTCCACAAAACATAATCTTCCATGTTCCCATGTGGAATGGGCCTGGTATGGCCACCATGAAAAACCAGGAAGAAATCAATCCCCCTCTTCCCAGAATGGAAGACCCTGGTCATCAAATCCTTTCCTAGCCAAGATCCAAGGACACAGAGAGAAATAGAACAGGAATGCTTGGCTTCTCAGAGCTTTTATAGGTAATCAACCGACAGCATCTATTCTTTGATGTCTGTGGCTATGGTTGTGTTACTGTGGGAAGGAAAATGGAGGAGGAGAAATAGGAAAAATGGGCCTTGGTTATAACTGACCAGTTAGAAAGAGCTTCTTTACATTAAAGATTAAGCATGAGTTCTCTCCATAACATAGTTAACAAGCAATATTGCCTTCCCCCCTGGATAGTGATCATGGTTAATCTAACAAGGAGGGCTCAGTTGGTCTGATAATGGTGGGCCGGTTCGGTGCTGCAGGGGGTCTTCTGCTGCAGAGAAAATGAATAGAGAAATAGAAGGTGGAAATTAGACAGTCATTGCCAAGATATAAGTGCCTTCCTGCCCATTTTCCTGCTTCTTCTGAATGCCTATGCTATGTGCAAATGTTATAGAACTATTGCTTATCTTCTGGACAGCCTAAAATCATTTCCTCCCTTCTCCTTCATTTCAATTTTTGGAAAAAAAGTTTGACAAAAATTACCTCCCTGTATGTGAAAGGAGGCTCTTAAAGTTTACACCTAATTTTTCCCACAGATCTTTCAACCACTAAAAAAGCTGCACCATGCCAAGATTCTGCATAAGCTATTTTCTAATTTTTTAGAAAGTATCTAAATACAGTATCTTCTATATCTATTCAAAATTAATACGTTTATACAGGGACAAAAACTGTGGCTATTTCATAAGCCACAGAATTATGCCATAGTCCAGGTCAAATTAAAAAAATAGCTGAGGGAAATTTGAATTGGCCCTTACCTGGGTACACCTGGAGGTATACCAGGTGGAATACGTGCCGGCCGTGAAGGAATTTGAGGTGGTGCTGAGAAAGGGTCATTATTAGTAATAAATGCACTTTGTGGTACAGGGCGTGAAGGAATGGGTGGTGCCACATAAGAGGATGAACCTGCTGCTGGCACTGGAATCAAGGGAGGGCCAGGCATGGGGCCCCTCACAGCTGGAGGTCTTCCTGGGGGCAATGCAGTAGAAGGAGGCCTGCGCTGAGATGTTGGGCTGTAAAGAAAAGAAAAAAGACCCATTAAAATAGAACAAGTTATATAATTTAAGATAACAGAACTCCAAATAATATCAATCATTTTCAGACAAACCAGCCAAAAACAATATGTAAAGAGTTTATTTCAAAAGCAATACAAGAATATTCTTTTAGGTAAAAAATACCCACTATACAAAAAAATCTGATTTGAAAATTTTGATGAACAAAATTATGACAGAATTAGAAGCTGACTAACAAATACACATAGAAGAATGTGTATTTAGTTCAGTGTTGTCATTCTAGAAGGAATGAATCAACTATAGAGTGCCAGTCAAGAATCTGGACCAATCCCATTCAGTTGTGATAGTCATTTGTGGCTTTTGGCTTTGTGACATCCCATATTTTCATCCTTCCTCTTAACAAATAGCACAACAGAACCAATTAACTAATATACCAACTTACCTATGCCCACCGCTTCCTGCCTGCAGCCACGTATCATCCACAGGAGGAGGAACTGGGGTGGAAACTGTACTGGTAGTGATGTCTCCAATTATATTCAAAGCTTCCTTCAGGGCATGGTACATTCGCAACATGTCATCCCTGCGCTGTGCCTGGTCTGCTGACTCCTCCATCAAGCTGTTTTGGTCTGCAGAGGAGTATAAGTATGCCAGCAGTTCCGAGTGGATGAAATCCTTGGTCTGTGAGGGATAGGTAATATTGGGTGCATAGAAAATGTAATGCTTTCCAATAGTCTGGGTTGGATAGATCAAAAGTGGAGTAACTTCAAGAGGCTGGTTTAGATCACAACCCTAGCTATCTATTCATTGGAAATAGTGAGAGGAAAGGACACTTCCCCCACATGGGATGCTGCACTCAATGATTCAGAGGAAGACTGCTCTGGCTTCAACTTACTTCATTATGGAAAGATTTCCATTGATCATATAGTTGTTTGAGTCTATATAACAATGTATAAAAAACAATGTTTAAAAAACACAAAGACCATAATGGCTGAATTCACATAATACATTAAATAAACAAATTAAAGCTTAAAACAGGAACAGACAACCTTTTAATGGCAAAGGGTTGCATTAAAAAAACCCTATATTTTTGGTCTCTTAGCAGGGTGCCTGACAATGTGGAGCAAATTTTGTTGGAAAATCAAAAGTATAGCTGCCAATATTTTTTACACAATGGGAGATAATTATATACATGGTGGACTGAAAGTATTTGAGGCCAAAGAAGTATCACAGCTGTCCTATGAGTTTCAATATGTGCATGTAAGAATCTAGAACCATTATAAATTGTATAATCAAACTTTATAAGGAATCTCTTTCTGATTCCTCACTGTGCTCCTCCGAGTAAAGCTGGAATAGTTTTAATTAAAACTTGTGCCCAAACAGCAGAAGATGGCTACTGGCTCAAATTAATTTTCAACCCAAGTTGTCTGTTTGTTTACTCTTCAAGATAAATTCCAGATTTCCTGCAAAAAATTATTTGGTACCAACCTAAGTCAATGTGGATTCTCTTTTGATGTATTGATTCCACTTGGATTTGATCAACCTAAAGCAATGTGGCTGAGATATGGCCCCGTAAAATGATCTTAGCCAAGTGCCATAAAAAATCCATAAAAAATGTTGCTCCTGCACATTACTTCTACAATACTGTCTCCATAATTACCAGAAGTTATTATTTAATGCAAAGCATTTCACCAATTTATACTCTTCAAGTATAAATTCTAAGGCAAATCATTACAATATCTTTTCCTCTTAAATCTCTTGCCAGAATATCAGGATTGCAGAAGGGAACAGAAAATTTTATTATTTAAAAACTAATAATTTATGGGGTTTACAATTGCCATTTTGAGAGTGAGGGATAATCTCTTTGGCCTCAGAATAACATCTAGTTTCATCCCTCTGCCACTCTGGCAAAATAAATTATCAATCCATACTTACATTATTTATCATTAGGTGCATTATTGTCTTTGGCATAAGATCTCGGATAGATTTGTTGATGATCCCAACATATGAATCAACAAGATTGCGGATAGTTTCTACTTGGCGTTCCAGTTGAGGATCCATGGAAAAGGTATTTTCCTGAGCTCCATCTTCATTTTCTACCTGTGTATAGGAAAAATGGACACTGTTACAATATAAAATATCTAACAGCAGAATCAGAACTACAGTTCTTTCAAAAGAGCTTAGGTCTGTTGCACACAGAAAGGCTAATTAAGATGGCAGACTACGCTAATGCACAAAACTGATAATGTACAAATATTATTCTTTATCTTCTTGTTGCATTAAAGATTATAAAGTCAACTTCTTTTGCATCTTATTATTCCTCTTAAAATGTATTCTCTTATTTTAAATTCATTTTCTATAAGATAACCCTTTCTTGCAAAAGCTATATCTTGTCTACTCATTCTCCTTCACCTAGATAAGTAGAATATTTAATAAAATGAAAAAATGTCTATAAATTATTAGAAAGCAGCAGGGGACTATATAGGTTTATATATATAGAATTGAGTAGTTTAAACAATTCTTATACATGCAAATGATGCTGAATACATCAAACCCAAGCTGATTATCTCCTTGATTCCTGCACTATGAAAGAATATGAAAAATAAAAGTTAACTAAGTATGCTTCACATTTAATTTATTTTTTTCTGACAATAAAGACTGGATATCTATTTAAGACAAAAGAATATTGCTTTGTCATTATTTTTTACTCTTGAATACTGACTACAAATCAGTAGTTTAGCAACTGCAAAACATAAAAAATAACCTGGTTGGCTCTTCATGAGGCCACATGAAGAGCCAGTAGTTGCCTCAGCCCAGCATGCCTAGTTAGCAGCTGGAGGAAGAAGATGGCAAAAGTCAACTAGGGACAGCAAAGTGCAGGGTGGCCAAATGGACAAAATGGGGTGGGAGATAGGCAGGTGGGGTGGCTGAAGCATAAGCAAGCGTGGCAGGGCAGAGAAGATGAAGTCCACGCCTAATAGATGTAGTCCTCATTTAACAATCATACAGGAACTGCCATCACTAAGTGGTGCAGTCACATGATATTTTTCCTAACAACTGCTTTGCTTAGAGATGCAAATTCCGATCCCTACTAGGGTAGTTAATCAAGGACTGCCTGTATCCAACTCCACCCGAGAGCACTTAAATCACTTAAGATATTGTTGCTGAAATCTGATGTTTCAGATTTTCAAAATTGCATAATTTGGCATGAAAATGACAGAATAAAGACAGGAAAAATGGGCTTCTGTGAAGAAAAATGTGTCTAACCCTTATCTTAAAACACTTTCATAATTTTCAAAAACACAAGTTGGTTGAAAAATGGCCAACCTCTCAACATCTTTAGCGATAGCACTGCACCCTCTCTGTAAGCTTGTTGTATTGTGTCCCTCAGCATGAAAAAGATTGCCTACTCTTGATTTTAGGTATAAGGCACTTCCTGACAACGGCAACAATTGACAGGAAATTCTTTAGCAATTCCCTCCCTCCCTTTCAACTGAAAATCTGAGCAATATTTACTTGATCTTTCTCAGGATAAACACCAGCACGAAGGAAGGAGGCCTTCCAGCTATCCACATCTTCCTGAGAATCGCAGGCAAGTTCAATCTGACGCAGATCTTTGTATACATTTCTAAAATAGAAATGCACGACAACAAAACAATTATCCATCTAATTAAATGAGAGAAAATATCAACATCATGAAATAAGAGTAAGAGAAATATTCTACAGTATTTACTAAATATAGATAATTTTGGATTTGCCTGTAATGACATTAGCTGTATATTGATATTGGAATGATATTGTTTGTGCATTCTTCTATGCAGATGACCTCTATGATTGGTTCAGAATCTAAGTGTTGAGTGAATATTTTACAGAATATACCATGAAGAATAAGGATCTGAAAATTAAAGGGGAAATGGAAAAATATACAGAGAAATTTTAAGATATGCTAATACCAATAGAAAGATATCTATTTGTTGTTGCTGGGAGAAGCAAAAATAGCTAAGTACAAAGTGTGCACTTCACCCACTTTGTAAAGTGGAAATGAGAATTGAGTTCAAATAATCCACAAGTTACAATAGCATTTGGAGCTGGAATTTCCATTGTTGTAACCTAAGGACTATTTGTATATCAAGAGAAACACAAAACTCAGCTGAATGCAGGATAAATGCGTGTGGAAAAACAAGAAGGAAAAAAGAATCAATGAATGAATGATAACAGAATAACAGAGTGAGAAGGGACCTTGTAGGTCATCTTGTCCAACCCCCTGCTCAAGCAGAAAAGCCTATACCATTTCTGACAAGTGGCTGTCCAGTCTCTTCTTGAAAGCCTCCAGTGATGAAGCACCCACAACTTCTGCAAGCAAGCTGTTCCATTGGTTGATTGTTCTCACCATCAGAAAATTTCTCCTTATTTCTCCTTGATCAGTTTCCATCCATTGTTCCTTGTGTGGCCTTCAGGTGCTTTGGAAAATAAGTTGTCCCCCTCCTCTCTGTGACAGCCTTTCAAATATTGGAACACTACTATCATGTTACCCTTGATCCTTCTCTTCACTAGACTAGCCATGCCCAGTTCTTGCAACCATTCTTCATATGTTTTAGCCTACAGGCCCCTTTGTTACTCTTTGTTACTCTTCTCTGCACTTTCTAGAATCTCAACATCTTTTTTATATTGTGGTCATCAAAACTGGATACAGTATTCTAGGTGTAGACTTACTAAGGCTTTATAGAGCAGCACTAGTACCTCACATGATCTTGATTCAATCCCTCAGTTAATGCATTGGCTTTTTTGGCTCCTGCTGCACACTGCTGGCTTACATTTAATTGATTGTCCACTAGAACTCCAAAATCCCTCTCACAGTTACTGCTTAAGCCAGGTTTCACCTAATCTGTATGCGTACTTTTGGTTTTTCTTGCCTAAGTATTTTACTTTATGTTGAATTTCATTTTGTTAGATAGAGCCCAGTGGTCAAGTCTGTCGAGATCCATCTGGATCTTGAGCTTATCATTCTAGGGTGTTAGCTATTCCTGCCAACTTAGTATCATCTGCAAATTTGATGAGTTCCCCTTCTATTCCCTCATCTAAGTCATTTACGAAGATATTGAAGAGTACTGGGCCTAAGACAGAATTTTGTGGTACCCAATGCCTTACTTCCCTCCATGTAGATGTAGTACCATTTAGGACTACTTGTTGAGTACGGTTTATCAGCCAGTTACAAATCCATCTGGTGGTGATGCCATCTATCCCACACTTTTCTAGCTTACCAAGAAGTAAGCTGTGGTCTACTTTGTCGAATGCCTTGCTGAAGTCTAAGTATACTATCTCCAGAGCATTTTGGTGGTCTACTAATTTAGTCACTTTGTCAAAGAATGAAATAAGATTGGTTTGGCATGACCTGTTTTTAACAAACCCATGCTGGCTTCTGGTTATAACTTCATTGGATTTTAGATGCTTGCAGATCTGTTTCTGGATTATCTTTTCCAATGTCTTCCCAGGTACTGATGTTAGGCTGATTGGTCTGTAGTTTCCTTGGTCTGTTTTGTTTTCCTTTTTTGAAGGAAACTCTTTTCCAATCCTCAGGTAGTTCCCTAGTGTTCCAGGATTTTTGAAAGATATGGTACAATGGTTCTTTGATGGTATCTGCCAGTTCCTTCACAACTCTGGGATATAATCCATCAGGTTCCAATGATTTATATTCATCAAGATGTTCTCTTACCATTTCATTGCTTATTTTAATTTTTATTTCTAATCTGTCTTTTACAGTTATGTTTTTGGTAGGTTGGGCTAGTTTCTTTTTGTGTGAAGATTGATGCAAAGAATGAGTTAAGCAGCTTTGTTTTCTCTTTACTGCCTGTTACTCCCTTGCCATCTTCTCTCTTTAGTAGACCGACCGTTTCCTTGACTTTTCTCTTGAGGGTTTTTTTTATTTTTTTTTTATTGATTTTCTAATTTCACATTTAAATATTTGAAAAGCAACGTGGCAGCTGAGTTGGTCAATAATTCAATAACATACAAATATCTTTAGTACAGATCTCAAACTGTTACATTAAATATTTCCTCTCTTTTCCCCTTGGTATTTACTGTCTCGTATTTAAATTAATACAATTCTTATTATATCGATTAAATAAAAATAACTTTCTTACATTTATCAATAAGTTTTGTTTATACATGTCGTAGTTGTTTTAACATTCAATCTTTTTAGAAAATCAATGTCCTGATCGGTTTTTCCCAATTTTCAGTTTCCCATTAATATTTAAATTTAGCGTTTAGTATTTATAATTTCAAAGTTTTAAATAATCCCAATTCCCTTTATCACAATTCATCACAAAATCTAGTGTTCAGGATATACGTCTTACCTATTTGAATTCTCATCATCTTAAATCAACCAATTAATAATACAATATAATATTCTTATTTTTTGGGTAATTTCCAAATATCTTAAATTTGGTAACCAAAATTTCTCTTATTTCAACATTTAAAACAGGGCTTTTGAACTGGTGGTATGCGTACCACTTGTAGCACATTGACGAGTGGCAGGTGGTACGCAGCCCTGCCTAGCCTAGCCAAGTGTAGCAGGGGAGGGAAAGAGCCAGTGCAGGCAAGGACTGTGAGAGAGTCCTCTGGAGCTGCAGAGTGGCTGGGGCGAGGCAAAGGCCCCAGGCTCACTTCTGGTTCACACTCCCCCATGAGAAAGGAGGAGGGGGCGGAGACAGGAGAGGCTATAAAAGGAGGCAGTTTGGGTGAGAGAGGGAGAGGGAGAAAAAAACAGCAGCCTTGGGAGGAGGTGGAGTCAGCTCTAGCTGCACCAAAGGGAAAGAAGAAGGAGGAGGAGAAGGAGGGCGGGCGGGCAGGCAGAGAAGAGATCAAGCAGGCCGGTCATGAGCCGATCTACAACTGCTGTGGCAGCCACCTGTGCTGGCAGCAGCAAACAGTCAAAAAATGCAGTGGGGGAGGGGAAGAAGGAAGAAGAGAGGAATGAAAAAAGGCAGCAATGGCTGGAGGTGAGGCACAGAGGAAGGAGGGAGGGAGGGAGATGGAGAGTGGAGGATTCTTATGTGCTTTTGTGACTTTGAAGTTCTGGGATTTGTGCAATGTGGGTTTTGCGTTCTTAAGGAGTGTTTGGCAATTTCTATTTGGCTGATGGCTGATGTCTCGTGTTAGCTTCTATTGCTCTGCTATTGTTAGCTGTAAGTTTTGCTGCAAGGGATTTTGAAGTATTTTTCTCCTGAATGGATTTTGCCTGTAGCGTTCCTTTACTTATGAATGGAGCCATTTGGGGAGGCTGCCTTAGCCGGCAGCCAATATTTACATTTTTTTCTTCCTTAAGTGCTGGCTGTGCTCCTTAACTTTTCTTTCTAGCCAGTAGCTAATTCTTAAAGGGGAATGTTCCTTTTTAAGCTAGTTCACTCAGCAGTTTGTCTTTTCTGTCTCTGGAGGCTTTTCCTTGTTTAATGAATATATGGAAGAGAGAAAATATGGGGTTTTTTTTTCAAATTCTTCCTTCAGAAGGAGGTAGACATGAGAAAGAGGGAGGCAGGGAAGGAAGGAGGGATAGAGGGAGGGAAGTCCTGCCTTAGCACTTGGCCACTAGCAGCCCTACCATTGATTTTGCTTGTCAAAAGGTTGCAAAAGGGGATTACATGACCTTGGGACACTGTGACCATCATAAATATGAATTAGTTGCCAAGCATCCAAATATAAATCACATGACCCTGGGCATGCTGCAATGGTCATAAGTGTGAAAAATGGTCATGTCATTTCAGTGCAATTGCAACTTTGAACAGGGGTTTTTTTGTCATCAAGTTTTTGACACCTTGCTGTATCCTAAACGTGGTACAATCAGTGAAAAGGTTGAAAAGCCCTGATTTAAAACTTCCTCTCTTCTTCTCTTAATATCTACTATCTCATATTTAAGCTAGTATTTTTTATTACCGCTAAATAAGAACATATTTATTACATTCATCGATAAATTTTTAGCTTATATATATCTTAATTACCTTTACATTTAACCCTTATAAGCAAATCAATGTTCAAATTCAACTGTTAATATTTCTACTTCCATGTTTTAAATCAGTGGTTCTTAACCTTTTTGAACGAATTGCCCCCTTGAGCCAATGAGGAAGTTGTCATCACCCCCCTCCCCCAACATAACCTCTCAATCACAACATAGGAAATAATTCTTCAATTTATGCAAACACTTTTTTTTTCTTTAAAATTGTCATCAGGACATATCAATGCAAATAATTTATTTCCAGTCTTTTTCCCATATCTCCCATATTCTGGCCAATGGCGTACCACTGTATGGGTAAAGGCTGCTGCACAACGCGCATGAAGATAAGCGATGCATATTCACATATATACGGTGTTCTGTACTGAAGCTAGCTGGAGGAACATTTGAAAACACAATTCAATCCACTAATAGTGAGCGATTTGATGTTTTTGTACGACAGATATACAGCGATTCACTGTACGAAAAAGTCTCAAAAGTGTCCCCAAATCATCTCGCTCCATCACCCCCATATCGCCCCCTTTTCATTCCTTTGCCCCGTGTCACCCCTTTTCGTTTCATCGCCCCCCTGAAAAATGAAATCGCCCCCTGGGGGGCAATATTGCCCAGGTTAAGAACCACTG